TGGATGGGAGATGGGAGGGAATGAGATGGGGAAAGATGACATTGTAGGCAGAGGGAAGACCATCTGCTAAGCCCCAGAGGCACTGTCACTTGGGAACTGGAAGAAGTCCAATACTGTTGGAATGCACAGCATGAATTCAAAGGGGAGAGTAATACAAGGTAGAAAAGACTGAAGAATAATGGAGGTGGACATGATGGAGGTTGGATGTACAATCTAGCAGCTACAATATCCCAACAGGAAAGAGAAAAAGGAAAGTGGGGATAGGAGCTTAAAAACTATTCTTAAAATCAGGAGAGAGAAAGTGGGCAGAAAGTTAGCTTGTTCAGATGCACTATAATAATTTCATATTATAACAGAGAATTCCTGAAGGCACACATATAATTTACACACATAAAAGACCTTTCCTTAAAACTGCATGATTATCAAAAGCCACAATGCCTTTTAACCTGGAGGAAATTATTTTCAGGGTTTATTTGATAAATTAATAACCATTAGATATTTTAGATTGGATTTTTACATAGTAACTTTTCTCCCCACTATCCCTATATATAAATTTATATTCTAAAAAATAGAATGCATTCACCATAGCAACAGTTCCATGTCAACTCCTACTCAAGTCAGAAAAAAACCGAATGTAAAAGAAATGAATATTCTAGAATAGTCTAAGGTGCCTACAAGGAAAATAAACCACTCCATTTATTTTGTAAAAATTTAAGTATAAAAGTTCAATGTTTCTTTAAAACATCCTTGTAATTAGAAGGCTATTTTCGTTCTTCACATCCTATTTTATTAAACAGTATAATACACTGTTTAAAAGAAAGCAGAGAGGAGGATAGAAAAAGAAAAAAGAGAAGTCTCTCTTTAAGTCTTTAGTCCACTTATTAATAGGGTGGTTGTTTCTTTGAGGATTTGTTGTTGGGGGATTTAAGTTTCTAAGTATATTTTAGATATGAGACCCTTGTCCACTGTATGGCTAGTGAAGATCTTCTCTCAATCCATGAGCTTTCTATTGATCTTGCTTGCTATGTCCGTTGCCATGCAGAAGCTCTGCAGTTTCATGCTGGATCAAGATTTTATGCCTCCATCAGAAAAAATGACACTGCCCCATTAGTTAGAAAATGGAAAGACTTGGAAAAAATTATATTAAGTGAAGTAAGCCAGACTCAAAGTAACATAGGTCTCATGGTTTCCCTCATCTGCAATAACTAGTATATGTCTAGGATAAGCAGAAGAGGTCAAAAGCTATGTACATATGACCATATAACCTGATGCTAAGTGAAATGAACCCCAAGATAGGGATACAAGAGATTTTATCTTTCTTGTTCTTCTTTTTAATGTACTTATAATGTACTATGTGATTCATTTTTGTTTCTTTGTATGTTGTCACTGTATTTAATTCCAGTGTCTTGAATTTTGTATATATATTTTTCTAATTTGGGAGGGGAAGGGAAATAACAAAATGCTGAAATAAAGATACAGGATGACCTATTGTAATAATGAGATGTACAAAACACTATGTTGAAAACAATCTTTATAACTTGGAGGGCTGGGAGGAGGAGTTGGGGAGGAAAGGGATGGTGGAGGAAAAACAAAGGAGGGAATAACAATGCTCGATAGGAAATGGACTCATTACCTTGCTCATGTAACTGTAACCCCTCTGTACAGTATCTTTACAATAAAAAATATATGTTTAAAAAAAGAATAAACTTGGTCATATGGAAACAAAAAAATTTTTGTTCAAAATTTAAATATGTTCGTAGACAAAAAGAAAAAGAAAAAGAAACAACAAAAGAAATCAATGCCAAGGATAATATGCTTGGGATCAAGTTGATGGGCATGAGAATCAGAAACAGGAAATTATTTTTAAGTGACTTATAACTTAATTTAAGCCAAGCTATGAAATACTAGAACTGTATTAATGTCTCAAAAAAAAAAGCTACATCTACTGGTATTATGGGAACTGAAAAAGAACTTCTTATGCTCAAATAGGTTTCTTTAAAAAATAATAACAGGATTAGTACCTATTAACTTGTTTAATAAATTAATATGCAAATTTTATAATAAAAATTAACACACTCATAGACACTGGGCCTGGGGTTACTATGGTCTAAATGTTGTATTCCCCCAAAAGTCACACTGAAATTCTAAGTTCCCTGGCAGTAGTATTAAATGGTGTGGCCTTGTGACATGACTTGGCCATTACAGTCTGAGGGAGATATCTCATCTTGTCCCATGTCAGTGAGAAAGTACCATTCATAAAGCACAAACAGGCTCCCAACAGCCAAAGCAAACTTAATTTTGGACTTTTCAGCCTCTAAAACTATGGCCAATATATTTCTGTTGTTTATAAGGCACTGAGTCTATGGCACTTGGTTACAGCCTGAACAGGCCAAGATATGGATTATGTACTACCCAAAAGTCACTGTATCAAATGGAGTATGAACATGGATGGAAATCAAAGCTTTTTTCATTTCACTCACCACTCTCACAGCCAGACACATCTGCCAGGCCACACATCTGTCATCCTTATTCACTGCCCAGGATGGAAAACTATTACAGTCCCAAATCCTGATGCTCTGGTCTACTCTCCAACTGCTCTGGCACATCTCAGTCCTCAGAAACATCCCCTAACACATCTACTTTCTAACCACTTTGCTACACTTCGCCTTCATGCACTAAAATGAAAACCTGATAGTCTGCTACCTCCCTGCAGTCCTCTCATTGGAGGATGTGCTTTCTGCTACATTCTGCCCTATGTGCCTCAGGGTTCAGAAGTTGTTCCTAACTTCCTTAGGGCTACCACCTCTGCTCACCCACAATGCAGGGGTCTACAAACCACATGTCTCTAGGCTTCATTCCTTGACATTCCTGGATCACTACCATCTTCTACCACAAGTTATCTTACATGATCTCAACATTTCCATGAATGACTCTCCTAAATTTCTTTTTTTAAGATACTTTTTTATTGTAAAAATACTGTACAGAGGGGTTAGTTACATGAGCAAGGTAATGAGTACATTTCCTAGCAAGCATTGCTGTCTCCTTCTTTGTTTTTCCCCTACATCCCTTCCCTCCCACCTCCACAACTACACTCCTCCCTCCACCCCCACCCCCACCTAAATTGTAATGTTCGTTTTTCAACATAGTGTTTTGTACATCTCATTGTTACAATGGGTCAACCTGTATCCTTATTTAAGCATTTTGGTTTTTTCCCCTCCCCTCCCCAAATTAGAGAATTGTATATACAAGATGCAGGGCACCGACATCAAATACAGTGAAAACAGGGGTTTTATCGTGGGGGTGGGACATACAAAGAAACAAAAAAAAAAAATCACACGGTACATTATAAATATGTTAAACTTTGTTTCTTGATCTCATTTGCCAAGATGTTCTTCTCCCCTTTTGCTACCCACATTTCACGGCCATACTTAAGATCTTGTAATTAACCAGAACACCACCACCTCTGAAATCTCAAGGCAGGTGTTTCTTTCTCTGATTCAATCTCTCTCTCAACTACTGAACCCCATCCTCACATTATTTTATGTTACGTTGACAAAAACTCACTCCTCCGTGAAAACTCTAGTCAGGCTTGTTCTGCTCCCTCTTTTTAACTAGGATTCAGCTACCACTTATGAAAACACTAGACTGATCAAAAATTATTTCATCCATAATTTAAGGTGGAAATCTAAACCCTAGCCTAGTTTCTAAAAGCTTAAGGCTGCATCCTTAGGGCTACTCATGCCCACATACTGTGCCTGCCTGAGAAAACTCTGTTAATAGTAATGTTCGTTTCAGCCAAAGCTTGGTGATAGACAGATAGACCTCTGAAGCCCTTCTTATAGTAATTACTTCAGAAAGCTTACAATTATAAATCCTTTGTCTGCCCCTTTGGCATGTAAATCTTCTATCATCCAGGACTGTTTTCCCAATTAACAGAGAGCCAAATCAGTGAAATGTATTAACACTAGTTAATGAACTCGGAATGGTTTTCATAGTAAATAATGTCATCTATCAGCCCATCCCCTCTCCCTGAATCTTCAATCTCTTTCTAAAACACCTGGTCATCTCTCCTAAGTCAATCAAGTTCAGTTCATTCTGGTTTCTTTTTCTGTATTATAGTAGGATTGTTGTAACATAACATCTATCCTTGCTATTTACTATCTGACTCTATTTGGGCTTTTACAATGTAACTTTATGTAACACATATACTCTGCCACAAGTTCACTTTTTTCCTCAGCTTCAATCACTTGCTAATATTCTTGGGAAACGAATGTGAATTTCTTAATGTAGTATATAAGGGAATTGGCCTCCTCCTCATCTCTGAACATTTCTTTTCACTATGTATTATCTTATTCAACATCTTCACCCTGCTTTGTCTTCCCTCAGCAGGCTGGCATACTTGTTCCACTTCCCTTCCTAGATTGACTTTAATAACCTCACCCTAGAAAACTTGCCTCGATGCTCCCCCATTGGATTAACCTGCTCCTAGAACACCCTGATTTTCAAGATTCTGACTCATACACAGCTATGTAAGGGCAAGGAACCAATCTGTCTTGTTTATTACCTTATTCTCACCTCATCATCTGAGGTATATGTTAAATGAATGAGGATGTTGGACCATCAGTGTCCTACAGAATTCCAGTTCATATGATAAAAATTCTCATTACCAAAATCAGTGAAAACATCTCCAATTCTTTCACAGAGCATTTGAAAATGTAGAACAAGAATCTGCAGAACTAGGGTATGACTCCAACCTCATTGGCATATTTGAGTATTTATGAATGTAAAGAACTTTTTTGACTAAGATAATCCCCTTTAATGGAAAAAAATCTTTCCATTTACAGATAATTTTTCACTGGAAATTGTACTAATTCCATAGTGAGTGGTAAATACAAAGTTATGCCCAGGATCAGTCTGTATATAGCCAAAGTCATAACCTGGAAGGTTGGGAATCAGTGTTATATCTTTTACTTATTTTTTTAGCATAATGTGGTACATACTGATAAATTTGTATTATTGGGAACGTATTGATCCTGTTCTCCGAGTAGCACATCAATCACAGGATGCCTTCCATTTTTTATGATGATTTTCTTTTCTTCTTGTAGAGTTGGCCTGCAAAACGAATTATATCAATTTATGGCATGGAAATAGTTTCTAAAAATTCTTTAAAATAGCATGAAAAAGTTCCATATCTAGACAATAAGAGAGAAGACAAGACCTTAAACATAAATATTAAGAGCCCATTGCACATCTGGGCTGTGGTTCACAGTGGTTCACATCTACTGTAGCTACTCAGGAGGCTGACAGCTGAGAATCATGGTTTGAAGTCAACCTGGACAGCCAAAGGCCAGGAATGGAGGTATGGCTCAAGTGGTAAAGTGCCAGCCATGGAAGTGAAAGCTGAGCAAGAGCACAAGTCCTTGAGTTCAAGCCCCACTGCTGGCACACACACACACACACACACACACACACACACACACACACACTCTCGCATGCACATACGCATACACACACACAAGAATTTGAGTATGAAAGATAAATTTTAACCATAAATCAGTAACTAGATTACTGAGTAACAGTGCGCTGAAGTACAATGGTCACAGAATCTTACAATGGCTCCACTAGTGAAGCCTATCTACTTTTTTTAATTTGTTTTGCTTTTGTAGCACTGAGTTTTGAACTCAGAGCCTTGAGCTTACTAGGCAAGGTATTTGACCACTTACCTGAGCCACATCTCCAGCAACTACCTATCTTTCTAAGACCCTTTTGTCTATTGTCTAAGATCAAATACTATGTTCATCAGAAAAGACTGTTTTGTGCTTATTTCTATTTAAATTATTTTTATCCGTAAGAATAAAAGGAAATTAAGTAAAATTATTTCCAGATTTAATTATTACCTTAATCGAAATATTGTATGTTGGATTTGAAAACAGAATGGTCTCAAAATTTTATATTCTGTTCATTGGAAATCTTTTATTTTTATTTTAACTTTCACTTTTAGCACACCAAAATTAGCATTTGCCTTGCTGTTCATTCTGTCTTACCAGTTTTTACCTACAGCTTTATCTCTTTATCTATTTCTCCAAACCCCCTGAGGCTGCCCTTCTCTACTTCTTCCCCAGAGATGAACAGATCAGATTTCAGCCTCCCATTCCCAACATTTCATGTATTTATATTCACCTGCACGTCACACTGCATGTGATTTCTGTTAAAAACAGCGTCATACGGTCATCTATCAATCCACAACCACTACTTGGATAGTTTATTCAAGTTACCAGTATGCATGAAAAAAAGACTTTGCCATTTACCATCTGGTTCTAATGGACTCTAATATTTTAGCATTAGTTTTACAAATAAGTTTACAGAAGTTAGAATGAAAACAAATTTAAATCATAATTTGTTTTTTTAAATTAAAAACGCACTATATTGCTGAGGATCAAACACAAGCCTTGCCTGTGTTGGACAAGTGTTACTCTACTGAGACACAGCCTCAGCCCACAAAAAACATAACAGAGGGGTGAATTTGTTCACATTATAGTGTGGACATCTGTGGAATTCTCACACCAAAACCTCTTATACAATTAATTCAATTTAAAAAAGAATTTAAGCATGGTGATTCTCTATTCCAACACACTATGCATTATCTGCCTATGAGCTGTCAAGCATGTGTCAGCATTATTCCTTTATAAATTCTAAATTCCACATTAGGATATGTCTAATAGATTATAGTTCATTAGTTCTGATTTTTCTCATACTTCCAGCAAAAATTACAAGACTTTTTGGAGGACTTTTGAAAATAGCTTGAAGCTCATTATTTTCTTTAAAACAGGAGAGCTATAGTCTTTGCTCCACAGCATTTTCGTGTTTAGATTCATAAGCACCGATTCAAATAATCAAATTATTCTATTTCTACATCGTGTGTTCTTTTAGTCTCCTGCCTGTCTACCTACCAACTTTATCAACTAAATTTTTGTGAATAAATCTAAAAAATTATCACATCTTTTTAGAAAACCAGTAAAATCCAAGTTCTTGTCACCAAATATTAAACAATAAATGGTTCCTATAGAATGACTAACTGCAAGAGAATAACACTTTACCTTTTGTCCTGTGTATATCTTATTTATGCCTCAATTCTTGACACAATATTGTCTGCTATACTGTCATCTGAGCCCTCTGTATCTCAAGGTGTGTTTATACAAGGCAATCCACTGTCACCCTGAGCACTCAGGACACTGCTGGCTTCTCTTTATAGTCATCTTCCTATTAATCAAGTAGCTCTGATATGCTACTGTCAATTGTTTTCTCTTTGCCATCAATAAAAACTAGGAAATTCTGAATTCTCAGTTATACTCAATAAAAGCTAGAAAGGGACTACCACCATGGCCCTTGTACTTTTCTTCGAGACCTTCTTCAAAGATGTCTCAGCATTCTGGGCAACACAGTAGGAAAACAAAAGGTGACTGATTATTTTTTCTGCCATTTTGTATCATCACTCTCCACTGTTCTTGTTATAGTTTTACATTACAGTTGAAAAATCTAATTTAAAAAAAAACCTGATATACCTGAAATAATTCCTGAAATGATTAAGTAGTAAACATCAAGACTCTGGAAAAAGATCACTAAAGACCCTCGTCTATTTCAGACTAAAAAAAGGGTTTAATTGACCCATATGATACATATAAAAGAAAATGGGTTTCATTATCTTTTAAAAAAAATAACAAAAAACAGTGAACTTATTCTTTAAGCAACAGACCTTCAAGAAAATGAAATTTGGTCATTCAAATGAGCCTGATGGTATAGCACAGATTAGGGATTATTTCTTGTCAAATTTCTGACATTCTTTTTTTTTTGGTGGTGGTGGGGCCTGAACACTGGGCCTGGGCACTGTCCCTCAGCTCTTCAGCTCAAGGCTAGTGCTCTACCACTTTAGCCATAGCACCACTTCTAGCTTTTTTCTGCTTACATAGTGCTGAGGATTTGAACCCAGGCCTCATGAATGTGAGGCAAGCACTCTACCACTGAGCCAACTTCCCAGCCAGAAATTTCTGACATTCTTTTGAGCCTGCTGCAGGAATGAGTTAATGATTCTCCACTGAGTATTTAGAGTGTTCAAACTTCCATTGTTCTAATTAGTACTACAATAAACAACTAAACATGTCTGGGTGTGGTCCAAATCTTCCTAATTTTCCTGAAGTAGATTTTCTGTCTCATGGTATACATACTTTTTTATTTTGACAGATAAGCAACTATACCTATTTACCTTTACAATAACATAATATGAAAGTTGACTTGTGCCTTCTTTTTTTAAAATTTGGTGTTGTTGGAGTTTAAATTCAGTGCCCTAAACTCACTAAACAGGTACTTAGTCTATTGCTTGAGCCACACTTCCAGCCCTTTTTTTCTTTTTTTTGCTGTGGGTAGCTTTTACACAGGATCTTGCTTTTTTGTACAGGCCAGCCTGAACTAAAATTGTCCTATCAATACTTTACATCACTCCTGGAATGGTATGGGTGTACAATTTCCTCTCCAGCTTTTTCTGATACGATGGAATCATATAAATGTTCTTCCTGGGCTAGGCTTGAACCTTGATCCTCCTGATCCCTGCCTTCTGGGAAGCTAGAATTACTGATATGAGCCAGAAGTGCCTTTATCTTTTCTTATTTTTTTTATTTTTTAAAAAATGTGCTAGACAAATGATGCTGTCTGTTTTAATATGCTCTCATTAATTATTAAGACTGGGCATCTTTTCACCCATTTCTTGGCCATTTCTTGTATTCTTTTTCAGAACACCCCATCAACCACCATTAAATCCTTTGACCCAGAACTCTGACATATAAACACACCACAGAACCAACAACACTAATACTACTTTCCTAAATACTTAAATTCATTTTTCAAACAAAGAGCCTAAAGTATTTCCTCAGTAAAGAATTTAAAATTATCCAGACAGAAGAATATTTAAAAATAGCAAGGACATTAATGTTTTCAGATTACAGAGCATAATTCTTAAGGCAGGATTTTCTTACTTTTAAATTATCTTCTATTTTTATTATTTTGATTGATTTTTTAAGGTGGGGTCTCCCTATGTAGCAATGATAATGTCAAACTTGTGATTCTCCTGCCTCACCTCCCAAATGCTGGGAATACAGACATATACCAGCATTCCTGTAAAGAAAAAAAAAATTTATCCAAGCTGGTTACAGATTTGCTAGAGAAGAAAAGAACTCAAGCATCTATAAAGGCTCTTAATTTTGAACTAAAGTCCTAGGCTCTCTGCACCAAATGAAAACCAATATATCATCTTCATGATAGTGACTTTGCTGGAAGATTTTTACTTCAGGATAAGCTTGTGAGTGGTTTGTTCTACTCTGAAGTGCACACTGACTTATTCTGTTGCTATCAAACTTATGTAATGGTAAAAACACTCCCTGGTAGAGTCAGAAACAAAGGAAGTTTCAGAGTAGAGATGATCTACTAGGACAGACCAGCTATGGAGAGAAGAAAGGGAAAGCATGCAGCTACCCGATGGTGACAGGTAGCTTGATGCTTCCAAGAAAGAGTGAACAGATTGACTGTGTTTTGTATCTGTAAATCTGTGGCTTTCTCTGAACTGCCCCAGAGAAGCAGAAAGTAATCTATATTAGTAAAACAGTATCATAAACAGACTGTAAATTAGAATAGACCTAGAATAAAAACATTTGCCTACAAGTTTAGTTACTATAAATAAAAATACCTTAATAGCATTTAAAGGAAAAGATGACAATTATAAAAATGTAGACGAAGTGTAATAGCTCCAAATGAATTTTAAACCAATATTATGTGTCTGAAATTCACACACATATTTCTTAGATTTCAAGCTTACTTACAAAACTCCCATGTACTGGATTATAATGCCACCACCTACTTAGTTTTTAGAAGAATTAAAATACTAACAATGATTAAATTTAGGTCTTTTTTATTAAAGATAAGGAAGTTTTATAATATCCAATGCATTCATTCTGATTTTCAGATAAACAAATGTGAAGAATAATAGCTTCTATTACAAATTGCTTATTATGAGCCTGACCCTTCTGGAAGTTCAGAGAGCTTACATAACTTTTAAGATCAGTTATTAAATTACTAACTCAAACCTGTGGCTTTCTGATATAAAGGGCATGACTTATGAGGAGATTTTACTTGTGCTTATGCCAATCAAGGGGCTTCTTTGTGTACATATGTGTGGGTATGTATATATGTGTGTATGTGCGTGTGTGTGTACTTATATACTCTATATACTACAAGAGGCCAAAAGAGCAAGAAGAATACGTGACTATAGAATCTAAGACCAAACTTGCTCTCAAAATATTGTTTTAAATTTGATGAGTCTAGAAAGTAATCATATAGTTAGTTGTACTGTGATTAAATGAGGAATATATTTTTACTCTTCAAACAGACTTTGGTGAAATTATACCACAAAACAAATTCTTATATTTTTTAGGAAAGGGACACAAAGGCCCAGTACCTATGTGCATCTGAACATATAAAATAATATTTATCAAAAAGTTCTCCAGGAAATGGAAACAAGAGGTTTTTTTCCTTTGTTGCTGTTTTTGTTTTCGTTTCCTTTTGTCTTGTTTGTTCATTTATCTGTCTTTGGAGGGGTAAGGAAGGTGCAGAAATGGTAGGACAAAGAGTAAACAAATGCAGCAGTGATACTAGACACTACGCTGAAAATGAACTATACAACTTGTGGGGAAAACGAGAGGGAAAACTGGGAGAGAACAAGGGAAGGGGTGGCATTGCTCAAAAGAAAGTGTACTCTTTATCTGACTTATGTGACTGTAATCTCTCAATACCTTATCTTTACAATAACATTTTTTTTTTGGGGGGGGGGGAGAGAAGGGCAGTCATAGGGCTTGAAATCTGGGCCTGGCGCTGTCCCTGAGCTCTTGGGCTCAGGGCAAGCACTCTAACACTTGAGCCACAGCAACACTTCTGGTTGTTCTGGTGGTTAATTGGAGATAAGAATCTCACAGCCTTTCCTGCCCAAGCTGGCTCTGAGCTATGATCCTCAGATCTCAGCCTCCTTAGTAGTGAGGATTACAGGTGTGAGCCACCAACATCCAGCACAATAACCATTTTAAAATGCAATAAAAAAAAAATTCCTAGAACTTGAAGATTCAATCTTAGCAATGCAAACCTTACTTCTCACATTGCTACATATGAAGACATCTAAGGATACATGACTACTTAGTGACAAAAGATGGGTTAAAAGTTTATTATTATATCACATGTAAAGTATGTATGACTGTAAAAGGGATTATCAATATGTAGGCAAGTAGATAAATAGACAGACAGACAGATAGATTACTTCATTGTACATATAGATGTCCATGCACATACGTACATAAAAAAAACCTTACTTGAAAAAAGTCCAGGAAATGGAAACAAGACGGTTTTTCATTGTTAAAAAAATTATTAAAACAAGCAAGCAAACAACTTTACTTGCTATGAGGGAGCCAACTACATGATCATACAAATGTCCAGCAGCACCTATGGCAGAAGGCCACTTAAGAAGCATCAGGAGAGACACCATGTAGAAATTAATTTTTCAATAGGAAGAACTTTATCTAAACACACACTAAGTGCAAAGGCTGTAGCCAATTCTCTGCCTCACTCAAAAACAGACCTCATGAGAGAAAGTTCACTTTACAAGTCTTATACCCCCAGAAAGAAGTCCTACTAACACAACACACACACACACACACACACACACACTGAAGCTTCTGGGAGGTAGACAATTTGTTCAAAGATTAGAGCTACAATTTAGAGTTAGTTCCATTTCAAACTAACACCTTTAATGAAAAGAAGAATGAACCATGCTGGAATGCTTAGAAGCTAGTATCATTAAGTGAGTGAGGTGTGGTGGTACTCCTTGTAATCCAGTGCTCAGGAGGATAAAGCAGAAGAACCATGAGTTTGAGGCCAGCTTTAGTGTGACTCTGTCTCATAATAGTGGAAAAAATTTGGTCTCTCAACAAAAGGAGGGACAGAAAAGATCATAGCAATCTATCCCTTTCCTTCAGTCCTTTTATTTGTTATTAAATTTTTGTTAATCAAACTTTTATGATTATAAAGTTAAACATGGAGTGTCTACATTAAAGATAAAATGAGTGCCTATACTTTACAAAAATGTTACCCATGTAAATTTTAATATGTAACATTTAAAGCCAGGCACTGGGGGCTCACACCTGTAATCCTAGCTACTCAAGAGGCTGAGATCTGAGGATTGCAATTCAAAGCCAGACAAGGTAGAAAAGTTCCCATAAGATTCTTGCCTCCAAATAACACTGAAAGTGGCACTGTGGCCCAAAGTCATAGAGCACTAGCCTTGAGCAAAACTGCTCAGGAACAGTGCCAAAGCCCTGAGTTCAAGCCCTATGACCAACAATAAATAAATATTTTAAATAAAATATTTGTTCCAAAAGTCATACTAAACAAACAAAGCTACAGATGTATGACATTCAGCTTTACCATCAGTCTTACATATTTGTAATAATTTATAGTGAAGATACTAAAAGTGGATTAACATTAACATTTCATCTAAAGCAACAATAAAGATGGAAATATAGAAAAACATATTACCTGCAGTAATTGCCTTGCTTTGCAACCTTGGCCAGGGAGAAGATGCAGTCAAGAGTTGCTAGGTGATGTACTGCTTTACACAAAGACTGATAATGTTCACTGAAATTCCTACAGAAACAACAACAACAAAAGGAGAAAGTTCATTTCTGAGACCTATAAAAGTTATCCAATAAAGAACTGCTTTACTAGCGAATCTAAATACAAACAAAACAAGCAGGCAAACATCACAGGTAAGAGAGGAGAGAACAGATTACTGAGGCTTCTTTCTGCTTGGCCTGGGAGAGTTACATGGATCTAAAACAGCAACTACATAAGGATGTCTACCTATTTATACTATATTACCTATATATACTATATTACACTATATTTATAGTACATCTTATCATATTTCAACTTAAACATTTGAAATGAAAAATCAATTTCCTTCAGCTCCAATAACATTATGATCTACTCAGATGGATCACTTCCCTAGATGCTCATTATTTACTGCCCAAACCTGGAACACTAGTTTCAACTCCTCTCACACTAAACTGGAAGCTTCTAGAAGGCTAAGCTCATGTCTGTCTAAATCACTTATCTCTTCAGCCCTAATGTCCAGTTCCGATTGCACAGATAAAAGACATTATAATAAATGGTTGTTAAAGGTAGAAAAGAAAAAAAAAATCCCTTTTCAGCTATCTTCAGGAATTTTGTTAATAACGAATAACTTAATTTTACATTTATTTTTAAAAAGGTAATGGTAATTGCCTCAAATCCTTGTCTGGTTAAAACTATAACATAGGTGGCTCAGTGGTAGAGCGCTTGCCTTGCATGCATGAGGCCGTGGGTTTGATTCCTCAGCACCACATAAGCAAAAAGAAAAAAAGCCGGAAGTGGCGCTGTGGCTCAAGTGGTAGAGTGATAGCCTTGAGCTGAAGAGCTGAGGGACGGCACCTAGGCCCAGAGTTCAGGCCCCACGACCTGACCCAAAAAACAAAAACAAAAGAACTATAACGTGGAAAAAATCTCAGAAGGCTTATAGTCAAAGACTTATTTAGGAAAAGTATAAATATGGATACAGGTGTTTTTATCATTTCTTACATTTCTGCCAAAATTATCCTGTTATGTCATAACATTACTTCAACATGTACAATGTTCCATTTGTGGAATGTACATAATGTTCATAATGATCAATTTTGGATGGCTGAGATGTACCTAATTTTACTACAAAGAGTCCAGAATTTGATTTTTTTAGTGACTCAAATAAAATACCTTTTTTGTTTTTTTTCTTTTGTGAAAATACTGTACAGAGGGGTTACAATTACATGGCCAAGGTAATGAGTACATTTCTTATCAAGCATTGTTGCCTCCTCCTTTGTTTCCCTTTCCCATCCCTTCCCATCTCCCCTTCCCCAACCTCCTACTCTCCCATCCAGGGCCAAAGTTGTAAAGTTCATTTTCTACATAATGACTTTTACATCTCATCGTTGCAATGGGTCCACCTGTATCCCTGTTTAAACAATTTGTTTTTTCCCTTCCCCTCCACAAATTATACCAACATCAAATACAGTGAAAACAGGGGTTATACCGTGGGGAAGGGATATACAAAGCAACAAAGAAATCATCTTATAAATATGTTAGAAACAATCTCAAGAAAGAAAAAACATTTGAGTCCTTATCTTAGGGTAAGGACTTTTTACCTTTTTAAGTAAAGAGAAAATATATAACTAAGCTTAAATCTTCACAATTGCTATGTGCTTACAAGAGATTTGGCAAATTTTTAAATAATTTAATGTCATAAATTATTCAAAAACTGGGAAATGATGGTTAATAATAACTCAGTTAAAGTATGAACATGGTCCAAGAGAAATGCCAAAATAAAATCAGCATCACTATCAGAAATGAGGGACAAAGGGCTAACAAATGCAGCATGGTACTCACTAGACACTATGTTGAAAATGAACTATATAACTTGTGGGTGAGGACAGAAGGGAAAATTAGGGAAGCAAGGGAAGAGGTGACATTGTCCCCAAAAAATATAATCATTACCTGACTTATGTAACTGTAACCCCTCTGTATATCACCTTTACAAAAACAATGAGCAACACAACAATAAAAAACAAAAAAATCAGTACTTAGTAACCAGACCTTATGAAGGAGGCACACCTATGTTATTTCTTTTTTTTTTGGTCAGGGGTGGGGGGAGGGGGCAGTCCGGTCGTGGGGCCTGAACTCTGGGCCTGGGCGCTGTCCCTCAGCTCTTCAGCTCAAGGCTAGCGCTCTACCACTTGAGCCACAGCACCACTTCCGGCTTTTTTCTTTTTGCTTATGTGGTGCTTAGGAATCAAACACAGGGCCTCATGCATGCAAGGCAAGCGCTCTACCACTAAGCCACCTTCCCGGCCCAACCAATGTTATTTCTTTGTAACCCATCCTTATCCTTAATTTTACAAATGAAGTTCAGAAAAATATTATGCTAAAATCACACAACTATTAAAGAACAGAACCAAGATTCAAACTACCCCTTTTGGCTGGGTTGGAGTGGGGGGGGTTGGGGGGGGGGGTGGGCAGCAGCTGGAAAGGGTAATAGGGTTTGCTAAGGATCAAACTCAGGGCCTCACACATGCTAGACAAAGGCTTTAACACTACAATATATTCTCAGCTCATCCCTAAGCGATACCATTTCTATCTCCACACCTAATGGTGCAAATCTAAGAAGCTCTGACTAGCACTTTTTCTATTTTTGTGCATAGATGTAATAAATTAGAAATAAGATGGATTGCCTGTTTTCTACATAAAATACTAGCCTTGCGGAGATAATCCCTTACAGTGAAAGATATCTAGGAAGGGAAGGCAGTGAAAAACCCTCTTTTAAAATTTATTTCGGTGTTAGACAGGCGCTGGTGGCTCACACCTGTAACCCTAGCTACTCAGGAGGCGGTTCAAAGCCAGCCAGGCAGGATAATCTGTTAAACTCTTATCTCTAATTAACTACCTGTGGCTCAAGTGGTAGAGTGCTTGCCTTCAGCCGAAGAGCTGAGGGACAGCGCCCAGGCCCAGAGTTCAGGCCCCATGACTGGACCCAAAAAAAAAAAAAAGAAAGAAATAACATAGGTGTGCCTCCTTCATAAGGTCTGGTTACTAAGTACTGATTTTTTTGTTTTTTATTGTTGTGTTGCTCATTGTTTTTGTAAAGGTGATATACAAAGGGGTTACAGTTACATAAGTCAGGTAATGAGTACATTTTTTTGGGACAATGTCACCTCTTCCCTTGCTTCCCTAATTTTCCCTTCTGTCCTCACCCACAAGTTATATAGTTCATTTTCAACATAGTGTCTAGTGAGTACCATGCTGCATTTGTTAGCCCTTTGTCCCTCATTTCTGATAGTGATGCTGATTTTATTTTGGCATTTCTCTTGAACCATGTTCATACTTTAACTGAGTTATTATTAACCATCATTTCCCAGTTTTTGAATAATTTATGACATTAAATTATTTAAAAATTTGCCAAATCTCTTGTAAGCACATAGCAATTGTGAAGATTTAAGCTTAGTTATATATTTTCTCTTTACTTAAAAAGGTATTTTACCCCAAGCTAAGGACTCAAATGTTTTTTCTTTCTTGAGATTGTTTCAAACATATTTATAAGATGATTTCTTTGTTGCTTTGTATGCCCCCCCCCCCCCCGCCCCACGGTATAACCCCTGTTTTCACTGTATTTGATGTCAGTATAATTTGTGGAGGGGAAGGGAAAAAACAAATTGTTTAAACAGGGATACAGGTGGACCCATTGCAACAATGAGATGTATAAGTCGTTATGTCGAAAATGAACTTTACAACTTTGGCGGGGGGGGGGGGGGGGGGGGGCGAGGGAAGGGATGGGAAAGGGAAACAAAGGAGGAGGCAAAAATGCTTGATAAGAAATGTACTCATTACCTTGCCCATGTAATTGTAACCCCTCTGTATGGTATTTTCACAATAAAAAAAGAAAAGAAACAAAAAACCAAAAAAGGTATTTTATTTGGGGCACTAAAAAATCAAATTCTGTACTCTTTTGTAGTAAAATTAGGTACATCTCAGCCATCCAAAATTGATCATTATGAACATTACGTACATTTCACAAATGGAACATTATACATGTTGTCGTAATGGTGTGACATAATAGGATAATTTTGGCAGAAATGTAAGAAATGATAAAAACACCTGTATCCATATTTATACAGGCCCACTACCGACAAAAAATATCTGTGTTAATGGTGTCAATTCTAGAAATATTGAGTTTTATTCTATTTGCTGAAACAAAAACCTTGTAGGGGCTTCCTACTTTGAAAACAATCGGGGCAAGTTACTACAATGATAAGTGAGTCCTCTGTAACTTATCTTTGATTTAAAAGAAAAACATATTCTTGAACTTTTCTAGTATTATCAGGGTAAAATATTCTATGTAAATGACATTTTCCAAATACCAGAAACAATATTTTAAGCGAGATTCTTTTTTGTGTTAACTATCTGTGATGTGGAAAGTATATACATAGTACACTTCATACTTCATTGAATAAAGCATAATGAATTAACTTACCTACTTTTCAGCACAACAAGCAGCATGACATCCACTAAGAGTGTAAGAATCTGGGCAAATCCCCAAACACACAGTGGATATACCCCTAGCATCAGCTGAACATTCTTTAGATACTACCTTAAAAATGCTTCCTAGCCAGGTGCTCCTGTCTTTAATCCTAACTATTCAAGAAGTTGAGATATGAGGACTGTGGTTTGAAGCCACAGGAGGAGGAAAGTCCAAGAGACTCTTATTTCCAATCAACCACCAAAGAGTCAGAAGTGGAACTATAGCTCAAGTGGTAGAACACTAGCATTGACCAAAACTGCTTAGGGAGGGTGCCCAGGCCTTGAGTTCAAGCCCCAGAATCAGCACATGGATGCAAAAGCACACGTGTACTCACATACACTCACACCCCAAAAAGCACTTGACATATGCAGAGTGACCAGGCCTTTCCTGTTCTGGTTTAATTTAAATCTAACCTACCTGTATTTTTCTGTCTTAATTCATATGGCTTTACCCTTTTTTTGCCAGAGGGCAGTCATATCTGATGTTCTGCTTTGCTTCTATGAATGTGAGTGTAAATGCATTTGGGCACTAAAAAAAAGTCACTTTTTTCTTACTCTCAGTCCCTCCTTCTCAGATTCTGTCCAGGCCACCAAGACCTGAGGTTAAGGTTGACAGCTTTAGATGATCTTCTGATTTTCAGGATAGAAATGAGTAATTTTCATTCATTTTTGGTGATTACCATTTTAGTTAATAAAAAAAAAAAGCAGGGAGGGCTGGGTAATGATTTGGATATAGACAGTAACATTCTCTCGCATATCACTCAGTCAAGTAAGACGTGTGAATAAACAAAAAAAAAACCTACCAAAATCTTAAAATCATCAAAATTCATTAAAAAGTCTTCTTTAACTTCTTGATGTTTGCCTAAGCTCCTACATCTGCCAAACTACAAAAAGATTATATATACTTAGAAACACAAGTAGCTGTGCCAAGAATACAGTTTAAGTGGTAGAGTACCCGTTAGTAAGTACAGTCATAAGGTGAGGGAGAAGAAGGAAGGAAGAAGAAGAAGGAGGAGGAAGAGAGGAGGAAGAGGAGGAGGGAGAGGTGAGGGAAAAAGAGAAAAAAAGATGAGGAGGGAGAAGAGGAGGGAAAGAAAGTAGTAGGGGGAGGGGGAGAGGAAAGGGGACACAGAGAGAAGAAGAAAGAGGAGAAAAGAGAGGAGGGGAGAAGAGAGGAGAAGAAGGAAGGAGAGAGGAGGGGAAGGGAGAGAAGAAGAGGGAAGGGGAAGCTGACAAGTGAGCAATACAGATAATCAGAAAAACCTACTAAATCATGACAACTTGCAACCTAGTGACTATGTCATCAAGACTATGCCATCAACTAACTTGAGGCTGAAGTCAAAGTTCAACAATTTCTGCTCAAAAGAGATTGTTGGGTCTAAGGGAAGCAGATAAAGACATTTGGGTATCAAAAAGCTGCTAAGATGACCAGAGTTGATGTCAAATGTTACTCAATGATACAGGAGGTTAATAAAGAATGGAAAACACTTACTGTACTTGCAACTACATTTCTTTTTTCTTTTGTGAAAATACCACACAGAGGGGTTACAATTACATGGGCAAGATAATGAGTACATTTCTTATCAAGCATTGTTGCCTCCTCCTTTGTTTCCCCTTACCATCCTTTCCCATCTCCCACCCCCTCACCTACCCCCGTCCTCCCACCCCCTCAGCCAAAGTTGTAAAGTTCGTTTTTGACATAACGACTTGTACATCTCATTGTTGTAATGGGTCCACCTGTATCCCTGTTTAAACGATTTGTTTTTTCCCTTCCCCTCCACAAATTATACCAACATCAAATACAGTGAAACAGGGGTTATACCGTGGGGGAGGGACATACAAAGCAACAAAGAAATCATCTTATAAATATGTTAGACACAATAGCAAGAAAGAAAAAAATTTGAGTCCTTAACTTGGGGTTCATTTCGCTTAACATCAACTTATCTGACCATTTCTGCTTGTCTCAGACATATACTAGATATTGCAAATAAGGGAAACCATGGGACCTATGTTTCTTTGGGCCTGGCTAAGATATTATTATTTGTAAGATATTATTATGCAATTTTAAAAGTATTTGCAAGTGAGATTATTGCTCAATGTTGACAGTCTATCTTTTAGAATACTAGAGACAAATGTTTTGAGAAAGAATTTCATTCGCAGCAGTTTATTCTTGAAATTTTTGAAAGATTTTGATCAAAAACAGCATGACTAATACACAGCAATTAGTACCCCAGTGAGGGAAAAATACCCTTGTATGGCTAGTATTCAGTCTATACAAGTTTAGGGAAGTTAATCCTCCCCCCCCCCACCCCCAGTCATGGGGCCTGAACTCTGGGCCTGGGTGCTGTCCCTGAGCTCTTCAGTTCAAGGCTAGCGCTCTACCACCTAATCAACAACACCACTTCCGGTTTTCTAGCAGCTTACTGGAGATAAGAGTCTCACAGACTTTCCTGCCCCAGCTGACTTTGAACCATGATCCTCAGATCTCAGCCTCCTGAGTAGCTAGGATTACAGGTGTGAGCTACCGGCGTCTGGCATTAATCATCTTTTCTTTTTCTCTTTTTTATTATTTGTTTATTTTTTAAATTTTATTTTATTGTAAAGGTGCTATACACAGGGGTTACAGTTACACGAGGAAGGTAACAAGTATATTTCTTGTGGAACATTGTTACCTCCTACTACTACCCCTTACCTCCCCCATCTCTTCCCCTTCCTCCCCCCACTCACAAAGTTGTAATGTTCATTTCCAAAATAGTGTCTTGTGAGTGTCATTGTTTGAATGGATCATCCTGTGTCTTTGTTTCAGCATTTTGTTATTCCCTTTCCCCTCTTACCCTGCATCTTGTATGTACATTTATCTAATCATCTTCTTATGACACCATATTTGTACCATCTGGCACCTCCATAAACAGTATACATAATAATGAATGCTGCTTTCAAGTGGGTTCTAAATACAAGTGCTCTAGCTATATTGCAGTCACATTCTTTTTCTAAATTAAACACTTCATTGTTTTTCTTTTCTTTTCTTTTCTTTTTTTTTTTTTGTCGGCCGTGGGGCCTGAACTCTGGGCCTGGGCGCTGTCCCTCAGCTCTTCAGCTCAAGGCGAGCGCTCTACCACTTGAGCTACAGCGCCACTTCCGGTTTTCTGGTGGTTTATTGGAGATAGGAGTCTCACGGTCTTTCCTACCCAGGCTGGCTTTGAACACGATCCTCAGATCTCAGCCTCCTGAGTAGCTAGGATTACAGGCGTGAGCCACCAGCGCCCGGCTGTTTTTCTTTTATTTTAAATTATTTAGTTATTATCTTTGAGACAGGGGGTCTTGCTACATTACATATTCCAGGCTAGCCTGGAGATTACAATCCTCCTGCCTCAGTCTCTCAAGTTTAGGACTATAGGCATGCTCCATCATGCCTGACCTTTAGTTTTTCATTTTCAAAAAATTTTACATATATTTATGTATGTGTGTATATGTATTTTTACCTATATAATCTAATATATATTATATATAGGAAATACAAATTTTTTAACTAAAATTTTCTTAGATGAGATAAGGGTATTGAAGTTATATAGAAAAATGTCCTTAATTTTAGAAAATGTATGTTTCACTTTTGGGGACAAAGTACTATAAGGTCTAAAATCCCAAATGGTCCAGAAATGAAAGTCTGTATTTATATAGTATATGTGTGTATGAGTGTGTATGTGTACATGCATGTATGGCATATGTATAAGCACATATCTATTTATTCTTTATGTTTGTGTATGTCTGTGTATGTATAACTATATATACAAATACATAATGGGAGATACAAAACAAATGCAGCAAAAAGTTAACATGTGCTACATCTAGATGAAAGGTGTATAAATGGCCATCTCAATTTTCAACCTGTCCCTCAGTGGATGAATGGATCAAAAAAATGTGGTCTATGTATACAATGAAATTTTATGCTTCCACCAGAAAGAATGACCTCACCGCATTTGTAAGAATATGGATAGACTTGGAAAAAATCATATGAAGTGAAATAAGACAGACCCAAAGAAACATAGGCTGCCTGGTTTCCTTCATACGTAATAATTAGTAAATGTCTAGGATAATCCTAGCAAAGGATCACAATAGTTCAATAGCTATGTACATATGATCTTATAAAATAATGCTAATTGAAATGAACTACAAGATATGGAAACAGAAGGTTTTCTTTTTTCATAGTGTACTGAATGCAGTTATTTCTTTTTTCTTTAGTTTTTTACTTTTCCTTTGATTTACCCCCTGTTGTCACTGTGTTTGTTTTCAGTACCCTTTGTGTTGTACATAAGTTTATCTGATGTGGGATGGGAAGGGGAATCACAGAAAAGATGGTGAGACAAAGGACAAAAGATGAACCAATGCAACAGTCACACTCACAAGACATTATGTTGCAAATGAACGTTACAACTTTGGTGGGGAGTGAGTTGGGAGAGAGGGATAGCGTTGGGGGGGGGGGTGGAATGAGAGAGGGAAACAATGTTCAACAAGAATTGTACTCATTTCCTTATTTATGTAACTGTAACCCTTCTGTATATTACCTTCACAATAATAAATAAATAAATAAAAATCCAGGAGGCAAATAGGATATATAAAGAAATAAAATTAAATAGAGATAATTAAAACACAACTAATCTATACTTGCTCAACTCTGAGACATTAATCCTTCAATAAGAAAGTTAACTTCGAGGCATAATTCCAAAAAGTGGACTCTACTAGATACCACTAAAACAAAATGTTGGTACATTGACAATAATATACATTTTGTTGTCTCATTAAAGACAAGACAAGCATACATTTCAATGGATTAGAAATAAAATCCAAGAACACAAGTATTCAACTATTTGACAGCAGGTCACAAGCAGTAGTCTCTACTTTTCTTTTTGATGGAAAGATTTTCCGGTCTATTTCTCATAGCAAAAAGTCAGATTATATTTTTCATTGTGAACTCACTCTAGAAAATCAAGCCATTCAGCACTGCAGTCAAGGACTAGCTGCTCCCGGAGCTGATTCAGATGTCTGTAATTTTCTACAATAAAAGGAGAGTGAAAGCGGCTCACGGCTTTTGTGCTAGGAGGAAAAAAAAAACAACTTAAGTAGGAAATCAAGGTTATAAGACTCAGTAATGCCATCACTTCAGGAAATTAAAGTCATTACTTATTATTCATTGATGAGCCTTGAACATAACTAACTATAAACAGAGAACATTCTTCGATCATGATCCTGAGCTACTGATGATGAAGAATATGGTTTTGTTCAGAAAGCTTTTTAATTCATTTCAAATTATACCCATATGGTAAAGTCAGAGTTCAGAGTTTGTATTTCATAGGCAAAGGTTTTCTTTTATCTTTAACTTATGCTAAATGAAAACTCCTGCTTAAAAAATAGACCGAAACAGATACAACAAAATAAGGTGTAGCAAAGCTGCGAGGACACACTGGTGAAGCTCATATTGTTCTTGGTATTTTATACGTTTATGTTTGGCGGGTTTCAGGGAAGAAAAAAAACAAGAACCTAGCACAAAGAACAATGATCCATGAATTCAAGAACCAAATAAAGAAGAGAATTCTGCAGGGCTTAGTAGCCCTGACTGGGAAGAAATACCACACGCTCCTCCTCTGGTCTTGAGTGGGAGCTCTACTTCCACATCAAGAATTTTCAGGAAACAATGAGGGCTGATAAGGGTCCCCAGTAAGGGAATATATAGCAAGGCCTCAATCTCTTTTTTTTTTTTAATGGTAAAGGTGATATACAGAGTGGACACAGTTATATAGGTCAGATAATGAGTACATTCCTTATTGAACAGTTACCTCTTCCCTCATTTTCTCCCAGTTTTTTTTCCCTCGACTCCACTCCTCCAGCAGTTGTATAGTTCATTTTCAGCACAGTGTCTAGTGAGTATCACTGCTGTATTAGTTCACCCTTGATCTGTGCTTCCCCTTATCTTCCCCAAAACAGATAAACTTACATACAAAAGAACAGAAATCAAAAACATCAACAAAGGGGGAAGGAAAAATACACAAAAGTAAAATTTTAAAAACCTCAAAAATAATCTCTTGTTTCCATTTCTTGGAGTTCATTGAGCCTTTGTGATTCTCTCCTAAGAATATCCTCCTTTGTTTAGAATCCTGTTTACCATGTCCAAGTGTAATTTTTTTGCCTTTTACCATCCATTGTGTGTTCAATTTATAGGCACATTCTAATTACTACAAATGAGGGGGAACCCATGCAACCTATGTGTCTTTGGGTTTGGCTTACTTTGGCTTAATATAATTTTTCCTTACAAATGGGCAGTATCATTATTTCTGATGGAAGCATATAATTCCATTTTCTTCATGCATCCATCCACTGAGGAACATCTGAGTTGATTCCATAGCTTGGCTATGGTAAACAATACTGAATGTAAATTTGTTCAACCACTATGGAAAGCAGTATGGAGGTTCCTGAAAACACTAAACATAGCAATTCCACTGCTGGGCATTTATCCAATTTACCACAAACCAGACCAAACTAAAGCTACCAGCACAACCATGTTCACTACAGTATTCTTTACTAAAGCCTCAATCTTGCCACTTACAAGCTCTTGTGACTTTGGACAAATAGAAAGGACTCGGACTCTCTCTCTCTCTTTCTCTACATACACACACACACACACACACACACATACATATTCCTGTTGTCATGTTTAAAGTAGGGATTGCAGTAGTACTTACTTCCCAGGTACTAGGGAGAGGGTCACACAGAGTGTTTAGCACAGTACTTAGTTACAAGTACTCAGCAAGTATCAAGTGTAGTAGCTACTACTGTTGCTGCTACTATAGGTCAATAAGAAGAAAAGTCAAGGATACTCGCACCTTCGTTTGTTCCCCTCCTATAATACACTACCATATTAATTTAATCTAGCAAGCTACCAGACATTCAAAATCTGACTGATAATCTTTCAACCAATCCTTGTGTCAAGGCCTTAATGTCCAAACAGACAAAATACTATAATGAAACTTCTCCACATCATCTTATTTGTTCATCTAATTTACGTAAGGGAATGTCAAAAAGATTCTGGCACTGATTTGTGCCTTGTTTATTGCTTTTCAATTACATTATCCAGAGTTTTGTGTGAATATATTTATCATAGCTTTCTCTTCTGGCAAAAGCCATTGTGTAAGACATTTCCATTACTGTTCTAGAGTAAGGTAATTTTTAGTAATACCTCGTTATATTTCCATTTATTAGCTATAGTATTGCTAATAAAAAGCAGATAAGGAAAAAGATGGCTGCCAAGAGAGAAAACATACCCTAAAATCAACAGTACAACTTCTAGCCGTAAAAAAAGATAGCATTAGAGCAAAGTAACCCACACTATGCCCTCAGTGTCTGTTGCTATCGTAATAGGGAATAAACAATTTTTGCTTTTTAGTTAAAACAGCAACAAAAAAATAATAACCATTCACACATCATGTCAAACTTTCCCTCCATCCCTAACACAGAGTTCCTTCACACCTTCACCAGCTACTTATCTCTCTGAAGTTATCTTAGGCAAATGAAACATCTTTATCTTACTCACATAAACATATAACTAATAGCACTAATAAGTGTTCCAAAAGTGTACTTCTCACAGCAGTACACAATCTTCTGACCCTGCTGCTTTAGAGTCCCCTCTAGAGGAATAATGCTAATCAAGGAAGAAAAGGCAGTCTCAATGTGCTTCTCTAATATTTTTATTAATTTATGTGTATCAGTTAATGATAAGTTACAAAAGTAACATTCTAGTCAGGCATGGAAGCACAGCTCTGTAATCTCAGCACTTGAGAGGCTGAGGTAGAAGGATTATCACTTGAAGGCTAACCTTCAACTTGTTTCTAAACAAATTTTTTTTAAAGGGCTCAGTGTTAGCCTGGCATGCACAATGCCCTAGGTTCAGGCCTTAGTATTACAAGATTTTTTTTTTAAGTGAAGACTATTATAACTGTGTGCCAAAAAAGCACTAACTACAAAGAAATGTGAAGTTCACTGAGGTAGAAAATGAAATTTCAGTTTCTTAAAAGAAATGTCAGGCCCAGCATTCATCAAATGGCTCAGCAACCAAATTAATCTCACACTGAAAGATCCCTCAGTGATTTTTTTTTCCTTGTATACTCTGAACTACAGGGGTAACAGCAAAAATTTACAAAACAGGAAAACAAATGTATAAAACTGAGATGTACTTTTAGAAATATTTTTAAGTCATTGATATAGGATTAAATTTGATGTCTTAAATCTGATATGATTAACTCACTGATGTCCTTGGTTTAAAACTCGATAAGAAAATCAAACAGAAAAAAATTGCTTTACCTTCAAGAACGTGGCTATTATCAATCCAGTAGCACATGAGTATACAAATGTCATAATTCATATTAGAAACAAAAAAAAGGACTTGAAACATACCTTCCAACCTTAACCCAATCCGTTGGTATGCAAGATATAGCGGAGTTCTTTATTTCAATCATAAACTAAAAGAAACAGAAATGAACATTTAGACATTTATGTAAGTAATCATTACATTTTTGAAAACTTCCTCAAAATTTTGATATAGCAATTAACATGATCATAAACATTCTAAATAAATGTAACTTTGTTTACATATGGCAGCAGAGCCAAATCTCATTAATCTAAGTCCCAAAACTTATGAACTTACATTCAGTAATAAATTCATTATAAAGGATATTAACATGGGGCTTGAGTCCATGCTTATATGATTGTCATGTGCATATTTTAATGGTGATTTTTCACTAGCAATCTCTAATTTATTAGTATCTACTTATCTTAAGACTTCTATTACTCAGACCAGTTTACAATCTTACCCACATAAAAATTTAAAATATTAATTATAAAATGTAACACCAGTTTGATATATATGGCCCTTGCTCTATTCTGAGCAGAAGGTCCTTTTTGTAATCGTTTTTAAATAAGAAATCTGAATTATTTAAAAGTATCCTCATAAAGAAAGCCTTGATATCGCCGATAAGAAAATATTTTTCTTCATATGAAAAGAAATAAGTTGCACTTAAAGGAACCCTATCTTTAGAAATCCAACAGTGTTGTACACACAGCTTCTCTGCCAGGAGACGAGTGAACTCAAGCTCTTCCATTCTGCTTTTCATTTTTAGCACTAGCTATACATCATTTTGGGACTCTCATCTTGTAAAATTGCAAAAAAAAAAAAAAAAATACAGCACTCTGTTGAAATAAACTTTAAAAATTGGTTTTATAGAGAATGGGATCCAGAAGCTCCTCAGAGATGGTTATGGGAATTCTTTTTTACATTTATACTTTTTTTACATTTATCCATTTATATGATATGCATAAAACCTTGGGAATAACATTTTATACTACTAGTAGTATCAATCTCCTTATGAGTTTGATTTTCCTTTCATATAAACACTGACATTTTTACATTAATGGCTAATTTTAAGAATTTTCATCTTTAGCAAAAATTTCAGAATTAACGATGTCCTTGTCTATAGAAAGGTATAAACATAGTAATAAATCTGCTGTACTCAATGACATAGTTAAGAGTAACGAAGGGAAGTGGAAAAATGGGGGACTGGAGCTACTCCAGCACTTCTTACATCACCAGAAATCTGAAACAAAATATCAGGTATGGGCTGGGTGTGGTGGCTCATGCATGTAATCAGGAGAATCAAGTATAGGCAAAAAGTTTAATGAGACCTCTATGTCAATCAACAAGTTGAGAGTGGTGGCAATGATCTTGTCATGACAGCTATGTGAGAGACCAACCCTATCCAAAAAATAATAACTAAAGCAAAACAGTCTGCATGCATGGCTCAAGTACTAAAGCACCTACGTAGCAAACAGAAGGCCCCAAGTTCAAACCCCATTACTGCCCAAAAGCAAAAGTTAATAATAATCAAGTGTATGACTCTATGAAGAAGAGAGTGGCATAGGAAGGCACAGGAGTGCAAAAGGAAGCAGTAGACAGAGACCAGGTGGTATATAGAAATAATTGAAATGAAGCAAAGGACTCTAATACCAGGTGCTGAGCCAATGGTAGGGAATGGGCAGAGTTCCCTTAAGTAGGTCTTGAAGCAAAAAGAAAGCCTGCACTCTGCAAAAATGTCATTTGCAATGGGAATCTATGATCTTTGCAGCAAGTAGAACTAAAGAAGGGGCCCCAAGCAGTTCCTGGCTTGCTCCCTAATGTCCTGGCAGACAATTACCTTGAGAAAGGTCTTGCAGTTAGATCTTTCCACTGAAGATAGGAAAAACTTCTGTGCTTTGGTATCTTCAAATCCCAAAGCCCATCCCATCCACTGGTTAGTAAGCCACCACCCTGAGAAATCCATGTGAGTCCTGTTAGCTTTTGTGACATGGAAGCACTTATGGAGAGAGGTCTACATGGGGAAGTGAGAGCTTGGAAGGGGAGCTTGACAGGAGTGTGTGAAGAAGGGCAGGGTAGCTAGGAGACAGACTGTGACCAAGACACTGAGAGTCGCATGGTATGCATGCCTAACTGCCAGAGCACCCTGCCTCCCCTCTGACTGCTTTCTACACTCAAGGAGCCCAAAGACCCCTGGAAAGGCAGCTGCTTACTCAGGGTATGTACATGCCCACATAGACAAGGCACTTCCAGTGCGCTGACATTCATCCCTGCATGCTTGGGCTCAGCTGTCATGGAGTAGGCACTGTGAGTGAACACTGGCAGACAAGAGAACAGGCAGTGGTCACAGAAGTGTCTGTGTCCTGGAGGGAAAGGTGGATGGAACTCCCCGTGTAAACAACCCTGTTTGGTGTAATCTGTTTGGTCTTCAGAGAGAAAAGAACTCACTGTTACCCAAGTGAACTGCAAAACAGCAGGCCTAGGAGAAGAGGGAGCATCTCCATCCTCTATCTTCTCAGAAAAGAAAAAATATGAATGGGTCTTTTGACTTTTTTTATCTCCCTATTGCTTAGATTTTTTTTACCTTGCTCTGTATTTGTTGTATTGGGTATTTCCTGTTATTTCTTATACCTACCTTCCTTATTTCTTAGCCTATCTTTTTTCTTATTTCCTTTGGTCATTCCCCTTCCTTTTAGTATTAGTTTATGAATTTTATTAATTTATGAATTTTCTAAATCCTAGTTTATTCTCTAGCTCCTTTCCTTTCAAGAGCATAGTTGATGCTTAGAAGATAATATATAAATACTGTCAAGTCTAGGGTTTCTTCTCTTTTATTTGGTAGTATAAGGGTTTGAACTTAGAGCTTTGCATTTGCAGGACAAAGGCTCTGCCATTTGAACCACACTTTCAGCCTTCTTGTATTTGAGCTTTACAAAAGAGTCTTTGCCTGAATCAACAATCCTCCTACCAATGAGTTTCTTTTCACAAAGCTGAAACCACAGGAACTCAACACCACACATAGCTTATCTGTTGAGAGGGGACTTCAATCTGCAGCTCTTCTGATCTCATGCTTTCTTGAATAGCTGGGATTACAGGCATGAGACACCACATAGGCCTATGTTTGGCTAGTATTGTTTATTAACTAGTAATTATACTCTCAACTTCAAGGGTAAGGGCTGCCATATAATCACTATGTGATCCAAGAGAATTGATAAGGTTATCATTTCATCATCGATAAGCCAGGACCAAAGTCTAACTTCTCGTTCCTGGATCCTGAGCGAGTGAAATTTCTAAGTTACTATTCGTAACAAAAAGTTTTCTGAAAGAGGGCTGGGAAGGTGGCTGAGTGGTAGAATGCTTGCCTTGCATGCATGAGGCCCTGGGTTCGATTGTTCAGCACCACATAAGCAGAAAAAGCCGGAAGTGGGGCTGTGGCTCAAATGTAGAGCACTAGCCTTGAGCTGAAGAGCTGAGGGACAGTGTCCAGGCCCAGAGTTCAGGCCTACGACCAACCCAAAAAAAAAAAAAAATTCCCTGAAAGAAAATCAAGAGATAACACCATAACACAAGACTTTATCAAGAGATTAAAAAACATCATCATTAAACTATTTCTTATCCAGGGGTAGGGAGAGGCTCAAGCAGTAGAACATCTGCCTAGCAAGCATAAGTCCAAATCCTACAAAATAAAAAAGAAGAAAAAAACCAAAATGTTTTCTATCAACCATATGAGTTATTACAACAGACTTCCAAGGAACAAAACGATTTCAAAATAAAAAGAAGTGACACTAACATACTACATTCAGACTTTTATTTATTTTAAAACAACTTTTCTACTTCAGGCAGGCTGATGCAAAACAGAAGCATGTGTGACATTACCTCCTGTCCTGACACTGTCACATATTGCGCGGAGGGATTTCTTAGTATTCTTCGTATTTCCTGTAAATGTACTTGGATCTTGTCAGTAACTTCTTGAATTTCATCCTTCCTCTTTTTTATCAAAGGGAAATTGGAAAGATCTTTGAATAATTCAGTTTTATCCCCAGTTCTATTATATGAAAAAACACAAATACACATATTGAAGCACATTAATTAAACCAGTTAACAAATATATTTTAGAACATGATCAAAGCCCACAGGGCTAAAAGTCAGAAAAATTATTTTTATGTTTTTCATTGTAAAAATACTGTGCAGAGGTGTTACAGTTACATGAATAAGGTAATGAGTACATTTCCTATCAAGTATTGTTGTCTCCTCCTTTGATTTTCCCCTAACATTCCTTCCCACCCACCCTAACGCCTCCCTCCCCCTCCCTCCAAGTTGTAAAGTTCCTTTTCAACATAGTGTCTTGTATATCTCATTGTTACAATGGCTCAACCTGTATCCTTATTTCAGCATTTTGTTATTTCTCTTCCCCTCCCCAAATTAGAAAGATGTATATACAAGATGCAGGGCACCAACATCAAATACAATGAAAACAGGGGTTATACCATGGGGGAGGAACATATAAGAGAAACAAAAATATCACATAGTACATTTTAAATACGTTAAAAACAATAGTGAGAAAGCAAAAAAACACTAAAAAACCACTTGCATCCCTATCTTGGGGTTCATTTCACTTAATATCATCTTATATGGTAATATGTACATAGCTTTTGACCTTTGCTGCTTGTCCTAGACATATACTAGTTATTGCAGATAAGGGAAACCATGGAACCTATGCTTCTTACTTTACTTTTTTTTTTCCAAAACTTTCCATTTCCTAACAAATGGGGCAGTGTCATTCTTTCTGATGGAGGCATAGAATTCCATTGTATAAATAAGCCACATTTTCTTGATCCATTCATTTACTGAGGGGCATCTGGGTTGGTTCCATATCTTAGCTATGGCAAATAATGCTGCAATAAACATAGTTGTGCTGGTAGCATTAGTATGGCCTTGTTTGTGATTGTTTGGGTAAATGCCCAAAAGTGGGATTGCTGGGTCATAGGGGAGCTCTATGCGGAGGCTTTTGAGGAACCTCCATATTGCTTTCCAGAGTGGTTGAACAAGATTACATTCCCACCAACAATGCAGTAGGGTTCCCTTTTGGCCACATCCCCTCCAGCATCTGTTGTTATTAGAGTTCTTGATTATAGCCATTCTAACTGGGGTAAGGTGGAATCTCAATGTTGTTTTGATTTGCATTTCTTTTATGGCTAGAGAAGTTGAGCATTTCTTCATGTGTCTATTGGCCACTCTTCTTTCCTCTTCAGGGAAGTTTCTCTTTAAGTCTTTAGCCACTTACATATCGAGCAGTTTTTTCTTTGAGGATTTGTTGTTAGGAAAATTATTTTTAATTCTACTAAATACATATGCCACTAAATACTTATAAGGACATTGCTTAACTTGTAAGAGCTGAAAAATTTTATCCAAGTATTATTTCATCTTGTAAGTTTGTGATTCTTATGATGAAACTAAAATTAAGTATTAATCATTTACTTATCTGGAAAATCTAAAGTAAAAATGTCCATTCTCTTTTCTTTCACATAGTACGCCTTGGAGGGGTATCATGAACTGACTACCCTTGAAAGAATATCTTTGGTTTTGCAAATTCTCATAAACATAAGGCACATTATCCATGAAAATCTAGAAGATGAGGATAGCATTACCTGGTGCCCATCTCTGCTACTACAAATAAACTGCTACTGTGTGACTTTGTTTGGGCTTTAACTTTTCATCACTAATACTTTGGCAGTAGTAGATCTGTACTTAATAAGGAAGGGCTGGGTTCACACAGCTAAGTGTCATGCTTAGGACTCAGGTAAAACACTTAGTAACCAATTGCATTTCTAATTACTTATGTATTCAAGCAATTCTATCACTCCTCTAGCAGAGATTAAGAATCTATATATCCAATATCAAATGCACTGATTCATGCATGAAGGGAGAGTCTGTTACTTTCATTCATAGGTGGGAAGGAAGAAGGGAGAGTCTAGCATTTTCAGTAACTTGTAGAAAGGAAGAAAGAAACTAGCACTTACTTGGCAGCCTGTTCATTAAGTATTTTTAAGTAATGTTCCACTGGATTCAGGAGTTCAGGAATTTCTAACATAAGTGTCTGGAGCAAGTCTGACTGCACATGGGAATTGACAGAAGGTATTAATGCTTGAAATTCTGACTTCAGTTGATACAGGCTTCTGACAATCAAGAAGAACTCTTGGGTAGAACACTGCAAGTAGAAATATTTTCTTTACATAAACAACACAAGGCACATAAAAATAAAGTTTAATTGTATTAATGAAAATACCATAATGGAAAAAAAGAAAATACCATAATGAAACTCTAAAAAATTATTAAAAGGTCTGGGAGCTAGTGGCTCACTCCTGCAATCCTAACTACTCAGAGGGCTTAGATCTAAGGATGGCAGTTGGAAGCCAGCCCAGAGAAGGAAAGGCTGTGAGTCTCTTACCACCAATTAAGCATCAAAAAAGCTAGATGTGTGGAGCTGTGACTTTAGATGGTAAAGCACTAGTGTTGATCAAGAAAGCTCAGGGACAGTGCCCAGGCACTGAGTTCAAGCCCCAGGACTGGCACAAAAAAATTACTAAAAGGGTATCATTTTATTTACTATTGTCTCCTTCTGAGAAAGAATAATACAGAATGAATATGACCTAAGTACATTATAGGTGTGTCTGGAAATACTCCCAATGACATCGCTTTGTACAATTAATATATACCAATAAAAGAACACAAAAAGATTATAATTCAATAAACAAAATGTTTGGACCATATTAGTTGAAATAAAGTGTATAATATTTTAAAGTTATAAGAAAATAATCTGACCCTCCCCCATGGTCTAACCCCTGCTTTCACTGTATTTGATGTTGGTATCATTTGTGGAGGGGAAGGGAAAAAACAAATCATTTAAATAGGGATACAGGTGGACCCATTGCAACAATGAAATGTACAAGCTGTTAGGTCAAAAACGAACTTTACAACTCTGTTGGGGGGGGTGAGATGGGAAGGGGAAACAAAGGAGGCAACAATGCTTGATAAAAAATGTACTCTTCTGTACGGTATTTTCACAATAAAAAAAAAGAAAAGAAAAGAATCTGAGCTGAGCAGAATAGCTCAATAGCTATGTACATATGATCATATAAGATGATGTTAGGCAAATGGGATTTTCTTTCTCATTTGAAAATATTTAAAATTTTGAAGGAGAATGATGAAAGGGATGACACTGATCAAGATGCACTGTACTCATTAACCGACTTGTTGAATTGAAACCCCTTTGTACAACTAGTTAAAATAAAAATAAAAGTACACTATTTACCATAAATTTTGCTATCTAATCCATGTCACAAATATAAAGACCAGTTCTGAAAAAAATATTTGAAGTTCACGAGAGAAATAGAAAAATCTTCCCTAACAATAAGCTCTTATAAATTAGCATGAAAATGATGAATAACCCAAAAAATAATGACTAAACATATTAAACATACAGCTTATGGAAGAGAAAGAATGTCAAACAGACATGTAAGTAGCTATATACATATGGAAAGACAAGCACATTAAAACTGCAAAATAGTTATTTGGGTTTTTTAATTTTTTTTAATTTTATTGTAGAGATGCTGTACAGAGGGGTTAGTTACATAAGTAAGGCAATGAGTAAATTCCTTGTCCAGCATTGTTACCTCCGCCTTTGTTTTTCTCCTACTTAACAAAATGTCAAAGATTCAAAAGCAGATGTGTGAGAAAAAGCCACTTTTATGTACTACTAGTAAATTGGCATGTATTCATAATTTAAAAAATGCACATATCCTTTGACTAAACCCTACTCTAAAGAATTTATCTGAGCCAAATGTTGGTGGCTCAGGCCACCAGCTACTCAGGAGGGTTAGATCTGAGGATTTCAATTCAAAGCCAGCCCAAGCAGAAAAGTCTTGAAACTCTTATCTCCAATTACCACCAAAAAGCTGGAAGTAGAGCCATGGCTCAAGTGGTAGAGTGCTAACCTTGAGCAAAAAAGCTCAGGGACAGTACACAGGCCCTCAGTTCAAGCCCAGGACCAGCATACACACAAATGATCTGAAAACATATTTCAATAAGGATGAAAAATAAAGTATCTTCTAAATAAAGTGAAGAAGAAAGAAGAAAACAAAGTCACACAGAGTCAGCAAGCAGAACAGCTTCTGTCTCTCAAGAATAACAGAGGCTAAAAGAAAATGGAATAATACAAATTTCTAAAGAAAAATAATTTATAACCTAGAGTTTTATAGTCTGACAAATTACCAATCAAATGTGCGAATAGGAAAGAAAAAGACATTTCTAGATATCCAAGTTTCAAAACATTACTTCTAACACTCTCTCTCAGGAAGCTTCTTGGGGTTCACTCTGCCAAAATGAAGGATTATAGGAAGAAAACAACATGGGATACAGAAGGCAAGAAGTCAACTCAAGTAATATAAAAGGAATCTAAGATGGTACTTATGTTGGGATCAGGCTGGATCAGGTCAGGAGGCTCTCTTCTAGCAGAAAGTACTTGTATACAAAACTGATAGAATTATTTTTTTTGCAAATAAACATATTAACATGATATGTCCCAGTTAAATTAATGATAAGACATATATATAGAATATATTATATATGCTATATATAGTATTAATTCTAAGAGTATATCCAAAACAATAATTACTGACCATAAGAGAGGAAGTAAATTAAGAAAGGAAGTTAGGTCAATTAAGAAGTTAGGTCAACTAAAGAAAAGCTGAGTTCAAAGAGTACCTCAAAGTGCCTCTTCTCCAGAAAAGCTGGGAAAGGCACTGCATGCCAACACAGAAAGCTACACTGGATAAGTGCCTGGAAGGTTCTTAGCCACTAGCCAATTAGTAAAGAACTGGATATAAACATTTTCAATATAATTGTTAAATGACAGGCTTCTGTGATTATTGTAATTTGAGAGACAAGAAAGGGATATGTTTTTCCAGGCTTAGCCATGATGCAAAAATCACGTCAGCAACAGGAACAAGGTAAAAACCAGGAGTGTAATGAAGCTCTTAGTGTGCAAGCAGGGTTTTCTTTTGGGTGTTTTGTTTTGTTTTATTGTTGTTGTTTTGTTGTTGTTGTTGGTAACAGGGCTTGAACTAAGGGCCTGTGCACTGTCCCTGAGCCTCTTTGTGCTCAAGGCTATCTATCACTCTACTACTTGAGCCACAGCATCACTTCTGGTTTTTGAGTGGTTAACTGGAGATAAGAGTCTCAAGGGGACTTTTCTGATCAGGCTGGCTTCAAACCACAATCCTCAGATCTCAACCTTCTGAGTAGCTAGGATTCCAGGCATGAGCCACCACCACCCAGCCAGGCAGGTTTTTAAGTGAAGGAACTATAACAAAAGCAGAATATAAAGTTGTAACACCCTCAGCACCTTTGCATTTAGATGGCTGCTCTGGATTCTCTGTGTTCAGTCTCAATTCCAGTAACAAACTTTTCTATAAGAACACTTCAGATCAGATCTGTAAGTGTAGGGCAATGTTATCAGTGTACTAGAAGGACCACAGCCTAAGAGCTACACTGAAAATGAAGCTTTCAAGCTTAGTTCAGCCTGGCTAAGGAATAATCTCTACCCACAAGATTCTGAAAACACTCCCCTCTCAACACTGGCAAAGTGCTATTATCTAAGTATATTCACCAACCATACTTACTTCCTTACAAAGCAGTTTTTCAGATAAGTTAGTATGGATTCCTGGCACTACTTCCTAAGATTTGAATGTAAAGTTTTATGTCACAGAAATGTTTATTTTATTTCAGGCTCCTATAACTGGTACTATTTTCTAGGATTTGGATGTGAAGTTTTATTGTCCTGGAAATATTTGTTTTATTCCAGGATCAGCCCAGTTTGGTTCTACTGTCATTCTTACCACAAAAACAACCTATGTGTGTAAATTCTGTGGCACTTGACCACAGCCACCAGACCTAGGATTTCCCCTTCCACAACCTTCTTTAACATTTTCTGACTTTCACATAATTGGTATATGCAGTAGAAGCTCATTTAGAGTAATATTAGTAATAAAAAACGGATATGTGCTTGATGTCAACTAACTCATCTATTAAAAAGTGATCTCAAGCAGCCAGCCTTTCTTACATTGGTTTACTATCAAATCATTTTTACTCTTCACTTTTCAAACTAACCTTGAGGCAAATTCTAAACATTAAAACAGTACCTAGGAACAGTTTCTGAATGAGTCATAAGTTCCTTCAGTAAAATACATTTTGACATTTCAAAATAAAGCCATTCTTGCAGTTGTATTGGTCACTCTTAAAACAAATTAGGTTGTAATTTTTACTGGAATTTTTTTATAAATACATAAACCTTATAAAAGGCAAACATCAAAGTGAAGTTTAAAGAGAGGCAGCAAGATGTGACAGAAATCAAAGCAGCATAGATGCTGCTGCCATCTTGTTGCTATGACACTTTCTTTGACTTTGCTCTTTTCCTTAATAACGAAAAGAAATTTTGTTCTGCTCCTATTTTCTCTGAAGAAAATCAACCATCTTTGACATCTGTCAATGAATAAATGCTTTCAACTAGTGAAGTCAAGGTGCTTGCAGATCTATTGATTAATGAAAGGTAATATGCACTGATGTCAGTTACTAGGCCAAGGATACAAAGTAACACATGGTTTGGCATTCCTCTGTAGTCCCAAAAGAGTTGATCATAAAATTTCCTAATATCAGCAGGGCTTCTGCTTTTGCCAGCAAACAACACAGCAAACCAAGAAACACGGCAACAGACTCCACCGACCACACAACCTACTCAACTCATCTTTTTCTCTGGATTAGTATTCCCAAATCTGGTTTGTACTTAGTTTTCAAATTTAGCTGAAGCATATTTGAAACAGTTACGTAAGTCCTCTTGAGCACCACAAAAATTCTCAGAGGCAATATTTAACACTCTAGTAAAACTTGGTTGGAAAAAGGAGACCTTACAAAAGTAAACACTAATGAAAATTTGGTCACACTAAAATTGGAGCATATAAAAATTGTAGTACAATGAAATTATTAAATTGGCAAAATATTTCAATTTGGGCAAAAAAATAAAAGTTGCTCAAAGAGTCAAGAGCAGGGAGGGGGATACAGTGACATTAAAGACAACCATAGGAGCTGGGAAGGTGGCTCAGTGGTAGAGCGCTTGCCTTGCATGCATGAGGCCCTGGGTTCAATTCCTCAGCACCACATAAGCAGAAAAAAAAAAAAATGTACTCATTAAGGGCTGGGAAGGTGGCTCAGTGGTAGAGCACTTGCCTTGCATGCCTGAGGCCCTGGTTCGATTCCTCAGCACCACATAAGAAAAAGAACAGAGGTTTTTTAAAGACAACCATATCGAATGCAGTAGCGTCCAAAACAATACACTGAAAATGTAGTCAAGGTTTAAATACAAATTCTGTCATTAGCAAGTTACTAACCCTCTATTGGCAACGCTGCATTAGCCAGTATGATAACCCTATTGTAACATTTTAAATACACAGCATTATGTATAACTTCCTAACAGTAAGAAAGTGATTTAAAAAAAAACAGTACCTTCCCAGTGCTATACTTTTTGCAAGGAACAAAGGATATAATATATGTAAATAGCTTCTACAAAAGGTAAAACACTTCTGACTGGATGCCAGTGGTTCATGCCTGTAATCCTAGCTACTCAGGAAGCTGAGATGTGAGGATCCTGGTTGCTTCAAAGCCAGCAGGGCAGGAAAAGTCTGTGATAATCTTATCTCCAATTAACCACCAAAAAACCGAAAGTGAAGGTGTGACTCCAATGGCAGAGTGCTAGCCTTGAGCAAAAAAACTCAGAGTAGCACCTAAGCTCTCTCAGTTCAAGCTCCAGAACCAGCATATTCCCACCAAAAAAAAAAAAACTACCAGTTTTGAAGTTTATTTATTAACAATTATTACAAATATAGTTATTACAAAATAAGGATTTGGAGCATTTTTAGGATTTGAATTCTGGTCCTTTTATTTGCTAGGTAGGAATTCTATGTCTTGAGCCATATCTCCATTCCTTTTTGCTTTCATTATTTTTCATAAAGGTCTTGCTTTTTGCTAGGGACAGCCTGGACTACAGTACTCCTATTTACACTTGCTATGTAGCTAGGATGACAGGTCTGGTCATTCATGTCCAGCTTTTTACTGATTGAGATATAGCCATAAGAACTTTTGCCCAGGCTGGCTTTGAACTGTTGTTTTTCTTGTTGTCAGCCTCTCAAATAGCAAGTGTGAGCTTCTGTGCCTGGCTTAAATTCAGAAACATTTTGATGATAAAGTAAATTAGTGTACTCCATAGGAAAGCCAGTGCAATCACTTAATCTATAAAACTAAGTGATAAAAATCAAAATAATCTTCTTAAACACTTTTTTATACAAACTCATTGGTATACCAATACCCTCAGAAGTATAATATCAGCAGATTTTCCCTTTGTTTAATAAGAACTTATGATCAAAAGACATCTCTCTTCTACAGTAGCACTTTTATAAGTAAATTTGTTGTTTTGATAATGTTTTACACTTTTCTTATTATAATAGAATGACTACTTATGTTGCTGTGGTATTAAGTGGGAAAATTTTACTTTTACAAAGCAAAAACTGGAACAACCTTAATTTGTACAATTAAAATTTCTGAGGAGTTAGCTAATTTCTCATGCTACTTGCAATCTTTTATAAAATAATAAAAACAATGAAATCTCACATGATTTTCCTTGAACATCTGGAGTCCCCATACTGAATTATTATGAACTTTAATAGATTTTATTTTTATGAAACTTACTTTTTTATGATAAATGCTACAGAGTCCTCTTTCTAGGTCAGGCAATTTATGTAGATGATTTTCTATATGACCAAACACACTAGATTCAGAATGGACAACTTCAGACACTGCATCCAGTCGGGCATTTATTTCCCTGTAAGAAGAGAATAATGGTGATTAGATAAGCTAGAAAGTCAGAATGTACCCTTGGATGTGTGTTTGTGTTAGAAAGTCAGAATGTACACTTGGGTGTGTGTGTGTGTGTGTTAGAAAATCAGAATGTACACTTGGGTTGTATGTGTGTGTGTGTGTGTGTGTGTGTGTGTGTGTGTGTGTGTGTGTGTGTGTGTGTGTGTGTGTGTGTGTCCCTCAGGCTCGAACTTAGGACTTAAGGTGCTGTCCCTGAGCTTTTTTTCCCCTCAAGGCTAGTGCTCTACCACTTGAGCTACAGCTCCCCATCTGGCTATTGTTTTGTGTGGGTGATTAATTGAAAATAAGAGTCTCAAGGACTTTCCTGATCTGGCTGACTTCAAACCATGATCCTCAGATCTGAGCTTCCTGAGTAGCTAAAGTTACAGACATGAGCCACCAACACCTGACTACATTTCTCATTTTAATGTCACAGCCACTTACAAAGCACAAGAAAGATGTATGGTCCTTCCTTCCCTCTTACTACTAACTGGTTTGTGGCAGAGACCAGGTCACAAGGAAAACACAAAATATACTTCCCAGGTTCCTCTGCATTTGGGTGTGGCCATGCATCTGAATTGTTTACAGCATAGGAATACTGTAAGCCACTTCTGAGCCCTGGCCCAAAGAAACCTTCTGTGGGAGATCACACAGTAAGATCTTTGCCAGCTAGATATTAAGCTTAAAGCAGTTTTGTAAGCCACATGGTCGACTCTATCAGTCCGACTTCATGAGTAAGGCAGAAAATCTCCCACTTTCACATCTGTTACCAAATAAACTTACTAGTAGGAAATAAACCTGTCATATTTAAACCACTGTGATTGAAGATGTGTTTGCTAGCTGTATTGTCTTCGCTAATGCAGATGCGTTTGCTATATAAGCTGTATTGTCTTTGCCACCAGGAGCAACAAGACAACTTGAACCAATCAAGTGTTGACTAATGGTGGTTAGGGAGGAGAATTGCAGTACAAACTGCAGATAATATGGCCTCAGGAGACACAGAGGATTAGGGATGCCAGACTTCATCAGCAGTGATACATAGCAAGTGATGGGCTACTTGGGAAGGGGTGGTGAAGCTAGTCAACTTAAAATGGAAACCTGATTGGCTGAGTGCATCATAAGTAAGACATGGCTCATTAAGTACCTGAAAACATCAAAGTTCTAGGAGTGACCGACAGGTAATATTAATGACTGAGATAATAAATATGTCTAGTAATTAAAAAGCCCAGCACTCAGTAAGGTTTACTTTAAAAATAAGTACGTGCATGAGCCAGGCACTGGTGTCTCATACCTGGAATCCTAGCTACTCAGGAAACTGAGCTCTAAGGATTAAAGTTTGAATCCAGCCCAGCAGACAAATCCAAGAAACTCTTATCTCCAATTAGATTGAAAACATTCAAGATCCTGAGTTCAAGCACAAGTAACAGCATCCAAAATAAATAAATAACTATATGTAAAATGAGTGGATGAAAGAATAAACTGACATTTTGGTGAAAAAGAAGACATAAGGTAAATAAACAAGTTTGTCTTTCTAAGTTCTGCTGGTATTTCATACGCTAACATGAAGGGTAAACTTTATATTAACTAGTAGCATGCCTAGATAACAGACCATCTGCTTTATAATTAGGGGAATATTTTCATCTTTAGTGACTGTATAAGTACCTTGTGAGATCATGCTTTGCCACAATTCAGAGCCACTATACCACCTTCAGCTCTCATTCTTGTTTCATTTTTCTCTGACTCATTGTATCAAACACAATCAAGCTTTTAAGACATCTAGATTGGCTTTTCCATTCTTAGCAAGATAGTCCCAAAAATCCAACTACTTTTTCCATTTCTAATGCCACTTTCCTGGTCTATGCCAAAATCATTTCTCTCCCAATGACAAGCAAAACAACCTCCTAACTTTTGTCCCACCTCTACTCTTTCACCATGTGTAACCCATTCTCCATACTGCAGCCTGAATGATATTCCTAAAACTCAAAGCCATTCTGGCACAATCTGCCTTAGGCTCCTTGATGACTTGCCACCAAACTTAAGTTCTTTAATCCAGAATCCTTAATTGACCTACAAGGTCTTTGCTTATCCATGAAGTCTCAACTTCAGATCACCTATCACTCGCTTCCACTTCAAGATCCAGTCAGATTTTGAATCACTTCTAATACCTTGGCCACTCCAAGTTCACTTGCTGCTCTGACAGAAAGACACTTCCTCCTCCTAACTGACCACTAACCTCCACTCTACCAACTCTCCCACTACAAGAGTTTTCTAGACGCCCAGACCACATTTAATCCTGTTACTGCCCTTTTCCATTATCATGCACTTTCTCTTTTCAATTCCATTTGCTACTACACTGTCTTCCCTACTAGACTATCAAGTCAATAAGGTCAGGGATCATGTCTTCATTCCTACAGTTTCAAAACTGCATGCATGCAATAAACAGTTGCTGGATTCCACTCCAAAGACTATATAAAGTAAATCAAGATGAAGCCAAAAATAAATAAATTTTCTTGGCATAGGATTGTTATGACAAAATAAATCAATGTTTTACTCCAACATTTACCCAAAATGCCATACAAATAGAAAGTTTTACTTTAATAACTCACTCCTGCATAAATGAAAGATGACACCAATTGGAATAGACTGGGTTGGTGCCACAGATGGTTTGAAGATAGATAAAATGATGCCATCTGTGAATGCAGAAGACAGCCTACACAGACAGCTACTGTCTCAAGAATTAGAGGCTTTCCAAAATATGGAAAGATAAGAGCAAAGAATTTATTAAAAATCTAAACCATGATTATGAACTTTCCCAGAAACAAAGTTGAACAGACATAAATTCTACAGAACTCTTAGAGAGTGTAAAGACTGTGCTATGTTGATTTGGAACCTTAAAAAATCTACAAAGGAAGCAGCTTTTATTCCAGCCTGGGATCAGCACAGGCAAGAGCATCATGTTCACTAGCAATCATTCTGGTTTTAAATCAAGTCTTCTCTAGCTCACAGGTTAAGAATTTGGGCTCCGAAGGCAGGTAGCCTCAGTTCAAATCCAGGCTTTGTCACTCACCAATTACTTAGCCATGCCCTAGTTTCTCTATCAGTAAAACAAGAACACCAATGGGCCCTAACTCTTGGTGTTACTGTGAGAATTCAATAATACATGTCAAGCACTTGGCAAACAGTGCCTGCTGCTTAGTAACCATTCATTAAATGTTAACTGATCTCATAATCATTGGTACAAATTTGTTTGTAGATATCACAAAGAACAGCATGGTAAGGGATCAGCATGGTAAGGAATCAACTACACACAAAAATATTTCTAAATAACGACACAATGACAAACCCTAAATCATAATACACAATCGTATTTTGTGCAGAGTAAACAAGGAGGAATTTACTAGCCCTGCACTCTCAAGCACTCCAACTGGCAAGAAATGATCAGAAGTACTATATAAACCACTATGTTGAGAGTGGTTAATAGGCTGCATTGAAAAAGCAGGTTATTACCAATTATAGATGTCTGAACAGACAAGGAGAAAGTAAAAGGGGATGTGGTTGTTTTTTTACCACAAATTTCCCATCACTGGGTATTGCATTTCCATTTTTATCCTCTATAGGTAGATAAAAAATGCAAATGAATAAAATGACTTATAAAATGTTCTTAAGTTTATATACCTTAGAATCATTTTCTAATTAAAAGTAGTTAGGAGCCGGGCGCTGGTGGCTCAAGTCTGTAATCCTAGCTACTCAGGAGGCTGAGATCTGAGGATCGCGGTTCAAAGCCAGCCCGGGCAGGAGAGACCATGAGACTCCTATCTCCAATAAACCACCAGAAAACCGGAAGTGGCGCTGTAGCTCAAGTGGTAGAGTGCTAGCCTTGAGCTGAAGAGCTGAGGGACAGCGCCCAGGCCCAGAGTTCAAGCCCCACGACAGACAAAAAAAAAAAAAAAAAAGTAGTTAGGAGACTTTCCAAGAAACTCTAATAAAGCAATACTTAGACCACCAGAATAAGGAATCATTCTATAAATGCAAGCAGTGAGAGAGATTTGGTGATGTGACAGGTAGCAAAGCAAGAAATAGTATTGCCAAAAAGACAATGGTAACAGTATTATCCCAAGATTCCCTATAGTAGTAACAGTTGTTCTTACAATGCTATAATAAACCAGTGAAAAGAATTTCATCCCGGATACAGAGAAACAAAGGACTTAAGGTCCTAGGGTTGACAGAGATTCTTCTTTACCACCTAAGATCCAAGGATAATATGTGGGTGTCAGCAGAGTCCTTCACATTTGGAGATGAACTGGATGATGACGTTAGCAACTATTGTGTGTGGCTATTACTCAAAAACAGCGTGACTGGTAACTATTACCATGAAGATGGACAGGGACAAAATTGGAAAGCCAAGAAGGGAAAACATACATGGTCTCCTTGTTGTCCTCATGCTCCCTGTGTTCCCCTCCTCAGCTATAGGAAAAGCTACCATTTACTGCTGGTCCTTCAAGCTGATCTAGATTTCACTGAGGGCCCAGATACCACAAAACAAAGCAGAGGCCAACTCTTAAGTTCCTGCCTAGCTCACCAAGACATGCTGGTGAATCCACGCTGACCACGCTGACACATGGGTCAGGGAGAACCCCTGGGGTCCACTTTTCTCCTGGCAGTGGCTGCCAGGAGTAGCTCTGGCATGGAGCCAGAGTAATCAGCCATGGCTGTCAGGTATGTGCCACCCTCCCACCCCATTCTCCATTTATGAGCAGTCACGTGTGCGCTGGGCTGAGTAAACCATTCCACCTGGGTGTCCGCAGGCTCGCAGAACATGGGTAACCACAAATGACTAACAGGGCCTCCCAGTCAAGTCATTCCAGAGTTAAGCCTGGCATTTTGTTCTGTGAGTATAAATTAAATCTTAAGTAGAAGGAAATATGTAACATTCTATTGCCTGGTCATTTAAAAAGATAACCATTA